TACTACACAGGATGCTACGACTATTCGAGAGTGGCATACGGGTACAAGGGGCTTTGCATTGTTCCTCAAGAAGCTGCCTCACCGAGGGGCACATACCAAGTCCATCGGTAGAGTGACGTCATGCCGAACGCGGAGATGAAGAGAAACATATGGCCACTTCGGACCGGTAGCCGTCGTCGAAGGCATGCCGCAAGGTTCGATACCTAATCGGGAAAGACCGGCTACTTCGGTGTGGCTTGGAGCGAAGCGCGCGCTTGGCCGAGCGGCGTCAAGTGGCCCTATTGTTCGCTGAATGCGGAAGATGTTCTGAGATCTACGCGCGAGGCATCGGGATGACCGTGCCAAGCTTCGAGTAAGCATCGCGCACCGTCGAAGGTGTCAAAGAGCGTTGAAGGCGAAATCGAAGTGTTGGGAGACTGAGTCGAAGTGCCGGGCGGGATGCGAGTGCCAAAAAGAGGTGAATCGGGGCCCAGAGGGGCTTGGCGCCTATCAACGGACGGCCAGACTGAGCGCTGGAATCAGGAGATCGAACAGTACCTGCGTGCTTTCACCAGCCACAGGCAGGATGATTGGGCGAAGCAGTTGCCGCTCGCGGAATTCGCACTGAACAATCGAGTTCACTCCGCGACCAGGCACTCCCCTTTCTACTTGCATCAAGGGTACCATCCTGAGATCCAAGTGCGGATCAATCCGATGTCTGCGATGCCTGCGGCCGCTGATCGGCTCAAGATTCTGAAGGAGATTCGCGACGACACGCGCTCTGCGCTCGAGCTGTCAGCCGAGCGCATGAAGGTGTACTACGACAAGCACGTGCAGGAGGCACCGGTCTTCGTGCCAGGGGACAAGGTCTGGCTTGATGCCCGAAACCTTAAGCTGAAACAGCCGAGCAAGAAGCTTAGTCCCAAGCGCCTTGGGCCTTATGCCATGCGACGAAAGCTTGGAGACTTGGATTATGAATTAGTCCTGCCAAAGTCGGTGCCGGTGCACCCGGTATTCCACGTCTCCTTGCTTAGCAAGTACACGCGTAGCGATATCCCGGGCCGGGAGCCGGAGGAACCGCCTGCGATCGAGGTTGAGGGTGACGAGGAGTACAAGGTTGAGCGGATTAAGGATTCGCGGATCTTCCGGCGTCAGCTGCAGTACCTTGTCAAGTGGAAGGGTTATGACGATTCGCATACATCATGGGAACCGGCGCGCAATGTTGCCAATGCACCGGCCCTCATAGCCGACTTCCACCGGAAGAACCCGAACGCCCCTCGCCGCCTCAACGCTGCTACCTTTGGTGGTCTCAACTTTCAGCCAATGCTTTTGCTGCTGACTGAAGCACGCTGCCGCTCCGGGTGGGAGATGGGCAAGGGCGCCTCGCATGAGGTCATGCGCCGTTGAGGGGGGGGTAATGTCACGAGTTGGCACGGCGTCTAGCCGTTTTTTAATTTTTTTCCTTTTCACGGGCTCAAACCCGCAACCTCTGTACTACCTGCCCGATATGGACACGTCATTATCTACTGTACGATTAGATTAGATAGGACGGCAATGCATGGCACAGCTCGGGCTATGCTGACACAGCCGCTCTGACTCACCAGCCCCCGGGGCCGCGTCAGCATGCTGCGCACAGACCAGCTGCGCACGGACCAACGTGCACAGCCTGCCCTTATCTACCCCTGTATATAAGCCGGCCTCTGCTGCCCTAGGGACCTCAGTTTCGACCTCTTGTCCCTAGGTCAGTAAGCCCTCATTTGTATTCTTCCTTACCCTACTAACTAATATACTTTCTTGTCCCTAGCCTTAGGTTCGAGCCTAGCTCACCATCGCTTCGGTAAGATCTAGTCGGACGCCCCCAGCCTTTCAGTTTTCTCCAGTCGCTTGACCTCAAGTCGCGACATTAGGTCGAAACTCCCCAAGCTGCCGGCGTCCCCTCGGGACCCCTTACATTCACTTTCCTTTCCCACAGGTCGGGTGGTGCGCACCCCTACGGTACATTACGATACGTAGATAGCGTACATACATCGCCACCACTTAGGGAACGAACTCTTCAGTACCTGCACTTCAGTGGGCGGTACTTGTCCTCACGGACGCGTGGACTAGGTTCCTGCTGCATAATAGTCAAAAGCAGTACTGGGCCCCACATGAACTGCGAACCCTAGTGTCTTCTCAGGTGCCGTAGCGTAAGCTAGAATAGCACGGCCATTGTAGTATGCGCGCCTCCCCGTCCTATCCCCCTCCATTGTGGCTGCCTGCCAAGGCCAGATCCACGCCTTCGACTCCCAGGACCTCATCGACGTCTACATCCCAGACGGCCCTGAGACTGTCCTCTATCATTGCGAGCAGCAGCCATGCCCAAATCGGACACCCCGATTGATCGAGGAGGATTACCCTCGTTACAAGGTGATCCGACGAGCGCAACATCTGCTCGGTCCCCGCAGCACCCTCGCGTCTCAATCTGCCTTGCGGCATTCTCGCCCTGTCTCCCCCAGCTCCCGACTCCCTCAAACTGTCGCCGATCAAGCATGAGGAGATCTCCCTCCAGACCCTGCGCCAGAGCCTGAGCCTGAGGAGGGTGACAGTGAAGAAGGAGTCTCGGAGTCCAAGTCCGTGGATCCTGCTCAGCCCGCCTCGCCAACAGTGCTCGCCCCCACGTCAGCAGTCCCTGACGTACATAACCCCCCTGCCGAACTTTCTCCGGTGCCTTCACCGCCGACTCCACCGAGAGGCCGCTCGAGCACTCACTCCTCTCGAAGTTCGACCAGCGGAGGGCCTCCACAGCCGCCTCCGCCCCCACAGCGTCCTCCGTCCCCCCCGACGCTGATAATGTCGTCCCCCGCAGCCGCCCCCGACAAGGAGACCCTGAAGCTTCTCCTCCCACTCCGATATGATGGCAAAACCGTCATCGAGTGCAACAGGTTCTTGTCGCAGCTACACATCTACTGGATGGTCAACACGTCATTGACCACCATTGAGCTCAAAGTACAGGTTGCGCTGAGCCTGCTCGACGGTGATGCTCGCACCTGGGCCACCCCCTACTTCGCCCAGCTCGTGTCGGTACAGATAGAAGTACAAGGGGCCACGACCCCATTCGCAAACGAAGCGGCCTTTGCCGCCGCCTTCAGGGCCCGCTTTGGAAATCTCGACGATGAGGCAGCAGCACAAGTGGAGCTGGCAAAGCTCTGCGCGGACAAGTCGGTCCGCGAAAAACGCACCGCTGCGGAGTTCTCCGCGCTGTTCAAGGGTCCGGCGGACCGCTCTGGGTATGGGGACCTGGAGCTACGTGACAAGTACCTGAGCGGCATCCCCTCCCGCGTATACCGAAAAATCGAGCTCGAGACTTTCACCACGTGGCAAGACGCTGACAAGCGCACCACTGAGGTCGAGCAGATCCTCGACATTAGCCGGGCCCGTCGGCCCGAGCTCAATAACTTCTTCTCGGCCCGAGGTCGAGGACGCGGTGGGGCACGTGGTGGTGCACCTTCGACGCACGCAGCTTCGGCCAGCATCAATGCGGCCGTCGGAAAAGGCAACTTCCCCGGCACATGCTTTGGCTGTGGGAAGCAAGGGTACCGACGTTTCGAGTGCCCCAATTGTAAGGACAAGCCTTACACAAAACGCGCTGACGCGCAGGCTACGGTTGCCTCGGGCTCCACCCAGGCTGCGACAAGCGCCCCCATCACGACAACACCCTCGGCAAGTATAAGTGCCGCTTCAGCGAAATCCGAGCAATCGGAGCTGGCGGACTTAATGGCACAGGTGAAGTCGATGCGCGAGGAGCTCGAGCATTATTGGGCAATGAAGGAAGAGGGTTTTTGATCCGGTCCACGCTTCGTGCCGCATGCGTCGGGCCGCATATATCCTGTAACAAGTATGATGTATTGTTGACTGCAATGGTGTATGAGTTGGACCAGGGGTCCCAGCACTTTCACATCCCAGTTCGACTTCAAGGAAAAAGATGGCACAAGGACATAATTGCTATGGTGGACAGCGGAGCCACCACGAAGTTTATCAACAAGCGATTTATTACAGAAAACAAGGTGCAGATGCGGAAGTTGAAGGAACCAATTCCGCTATACAATATCGACAGCACCCTCAATAAAGATGGAAGCATCTCGGAAGTAGCAGTGCTACAGATGCAAATAGGAGAACACGTCGAGAAGACAGTGTTTACGGTCATGGACATCGGTCCAGAGGATGTGATTGTCGGGTTGGACTGGCTACGTGAGCACAACCCCGAAATAGACTGGGAGAAGGGCTCTCTCAAATTATCGTGCTGTCCTGAAACGTGCAGTGCCAGAAAGACTGGCCAGATGGAGCAAGCGGTGACTGCGTGTGATACGGGGGATAGGCCCACGGTGCGCAGGCGTTTGCCAAAGTCCAAACAGTCGGTTATAGGCGCTTGCCGGAGCAAGGTGCTCCCGGACTTCGAACCCGAAGATGATCCGGTGGAGGTAGAGTGGGACGAAGCTGACTTGATCGAAGCCTGGGAGCAGGGTATCACGCTTCC